AGTATGGCCAATTGCCAGGGATGATGGAAATGTGTAGTTCAGCTGATCAGCAGTGGCTCTCCAGGGTTTCAGGCAGCGGGCACACCAGAAATGCCAGGGATAGAACTTGGGACCTTCTGCAGGTAATAATGTGGGTTAAACCACAGAGCCTAGGACTTGCTGATCAGAAGGTCGGCAGTTCAAATCCCCGCAACGGGGTGAGCTCCCGTTGCTCGGTCCCTGCTCCTGCCAACCTAGCAGTTCAAAAGCACGTCAAAGTGCAAGTAGATACTTTCTGGGAGATGATATATAATGAAATGAAAAAGGTATTTAAATATACCTTCCTGAAGAAACCAGAGGCCTTTCTCCTGGGCATTGTTGGCCAATTGGTGCCAAAGGAGGATAGAACTTTCTTTATGTATGCCACAACAGCAGCAAGAATACTTATTGCAAAGTATTGGAAGACACAAGATCTACCCACTCTGGAAGAATGGCAGATGAAGGTGATGGACTACATGGAACTGGCAGAAATGACCGGCAGAATCCGAGACCAGGGAGAAGAGTCGGTGGAAGAAGATTGGAAGAAATTTAAAGACTACTTACAGAAATATTGTAAAATTAATGAATGTTAAAATGATGTTGGATGAAAACTTATGTGGTTTTTAGCTATAACGCTATAAGTAGTATGAAAAAAATGGGCTATTAACAGTCAAAAGTTAATGTTACACATTATTTTAAGATTAAAGATTAGGATAAACAAAGAGGGGAAGGATTTGCTGAACTAACAAATTGAACTGGAATACGAAAAGGGAGGTGTGAGGAGGTCCGGGAAATAAGCAAATGAAAGACAGTGATGGAAAGATGGAATTGTTTTTAATCTATTTTTACTTTGTATTTTTCTTTTTTCATTTTGTAAAATTCTAATAAATATCTGTTAAAAAAACAAAAAACAAAGTGCAAGTAGATAAATAGGTACCGTTCCGTCGGGAAGGTAAACAGTGTTTCCATGCGCTGCTCTGGTTCGCCAGAAGCGGCTTAGTCATGCTGGCCACATGACCCGGAAGCTGTACGCCCGCTTCCTCAGCCAATAAAGTGAGATGAACGCCCCAGAGTCGGCCACGACTGGACCTAATGGTCAGGGTCCTTACCACTGAGCTATAGCCCATAAGAACATGACAGGTCTGCTGGACCACACCAGTGGAACCATCTGCTCCAGCATCCTGTTCTCACAATGACCGAACAGATGTCTTGCCAGGAAACTGGCAAGCAGGACCCAAGTACAAGAGCACCCCCCCCCCTTGTGGTTTCCAGCAACTGGTGTTCAAAAGCACTACTACCTCCAACCACCATGATTAGTAGCCATCATTAGCCTTCCCCTAAGTGGCATGCCCTAACTCTGCAAAAGGTCAGGCTGCAGAACTGCTGCTCTTTCTTATCACCAGAAGGGTATTGGTTCAGGATATAAAACCTAGCATAAACAGCCTTTGAAGATGGTTCTGCAATCTGGGATTGTGTCTGCATATTTCACAATTCCCTGCACATGGGATTCCATGCTTGTTTCCCTTGAAGTTTCACCTGCGAGAGGTCAGCCCATCTCAGACAGAAGGGGGGGGATCAGTTTCTTGATGTGAACTGCCTTCTAATCCTGTCCCACTTTGTGAATTACAATTAATTTTTATTTCAGTCTCCCCCCCCCTCCTGCTGTGCTGGAGGCATGTTTATTTAATCTTCCCTTGGGAAGAGAAGGGGGGGGGACTTAAATTAGGATGAGGCTTCAGAAAAGGAATGGATGGAAGCAATTAGTAATATTATTTCTCCTTGACTTAATCTGCATAACATTACATTGGAATAAATAAATTGGTGCACCATTCTGGGGAGGGGTATTTGCAAGTGGGGCTTGTTAATGGAAAGAGACGGGGTGGAGGGGTGGGTTTAGAATCCCAATGCATAAAATATTTCAAACCCCCCCCATTATATCATTACCCTTATTTCCTCTTATGAGTCCATGGCCTTTAATGATTTATTTATTCTGCCTGTAATGTCTTAGAGGGCGCAGTGTGCATCAAAAGCCAGTAAGGCGCTAAGAACCACCTGGCTGGATCAGACCACGCAGTAGTGTCATCTGGGCCACAATCACACCATACCATTAAAGCCTATGGTACCACTTTAAATCGTCATGGTCCAAATGAATCCTAGGTCCAGGAATCTGGAGCTGAAAGCCATTAGGAAAACCTTCTTCCCCTCCCAGAGCTGCAATTCATTTCCGGAGTTCCCTGGGATTGATCACTAAGCCACTCTGATCGTTACCAATTTAACCTCTACGTCTTTGGTCTCCCAATCTAATAATATGTTACATATCTTTTTTAAAAGCTTAGTGTTTTCGCCTACAATTTCTTTTTGGAATCTAGATACTGTGTAACTAAACCCCTTTTTATTTATTTTTATTATGCTCAAGTAGGCACAAGGTTTAGGACATAACATACAAATGGAGGACTGGGAGAAATTATGGAGAGTGAATCTGAAGTTTACTGATTGTACTTTGTTAAAAGAGAATTATATGAAAATGATGTACCTATCGTATATTACACCTTTGAAAATGGCTAAAATGTATAAAACCGGCACCAATAAGTGTTGGAAGTGTAAAGAAAAGGAAGGCACCTTTTTTCATTCATGGTGGAATTGTAAAATAATTAAAAATTACTGGGAAATGATATATAATGAAATGAAAAAAATGTTTAAGATAACTTTTGTTAAAAATCCATAAGCTTTTTCGTTAGGTATTTTAGGTCAAGATTTGCCAAAAGTGAAACAAAAATTCTTTATGTATGCTACAACTGTGGCAAGGATGTTATTAGCACAAAGATGGAAAAGCGATAAAGTATGAACTAAAGAAGAATGGCAAGAGAAACTTATGGAATATGCCGAAATGGCAAAACTAATTGAAAGACTCTGAAATAAGGACAACAGGGATTTTTAAAAAGATTGGGAACTATTTACAGCATATTTACAGAAACAAGGCAAAGAATTGGACATACTATCAGGCTTTGAATAAACACTGACAATTAACAAAATAAATATAGTAATTATAAATATGACCTTAATATGAGAACAGAACAGTAAGAATAGGATTTAAAGATACCAAAAAGTTGAGAAAAAAGTAGAATAAGCAGGAGAATATATTATGTTAAAATAAACCAGAAGAGGAAGTTGAGGGAAGTTGCATGGAGGAAGGGGGAAACTGGGGAATGATATTATTGTTATATAATGTGATATTTTGATGTTTATAAATGTAAAACCCTATTTTAAAAAAACCATTAATCCACTCTGGGAATTGTAGCTCTTGGAGGGATATAGGAGTCCCCTAAGAACTGCCAGCACCCTTCACAAACCACAGTTCCCATAATTCTTTGGGGGAACTGAGCACCAAATGTATGGTGTGAATATGGCATACTTCTTTGACTTGAACATCGGGCTAGTGTTGTGGTGCAGGAGTGCAGACCTTTTGCCCTCCAGATATTGGTGGATTACAAATGTTTCCATTTCCATTTCATACAGATTATCGATGACTATGAGCCGCAGTGGCTATGACAGTGGCTCCTTCACTGCACTGCCTGAGGCCGCATGCCTCCGAATGCCTGTTGCTGAGATTCACAAGTGGAAAGTGTTATGTATTGAAGTTCTCACCCTGGCCACCAGGAGTATCGTGTAGAGAGTTTTCACTCAGGTTCACGTCAGTTATTTTAGGCAGGAAACCCTGGGTTGTTGTTGCTACAGTGTTGACAGCCGGCTGCCTATAAAAGCAGGCCGGCTGAGCTGTTTACTGTTCAGTTCAGTTCTGGCCTGTAAACAAGAGCTGTTTGAAGAATCGCTGTGTCATCTGATATGTTCACCCACAACTTAACAGATAGAGTGCTAGAGTGCCAGGGCTGGCCAAATACATTTTGCAGCCCGAGGCAAACCATAAAATGGCGCCCCCTTGCCCTGCCGTTTCTCACTTTTGCCAAAAACAAACATTTGACTAGCTGGGAGCTGAAGAGGCGCTTTTTGAGCTCTTTCCATCAACCTGCAGCCTGGGAAATTTGGGCAGATAGAGATGCTCAGCACCGCCCACAGATGTGGCTACTTCAATGCTCTCCTCCAACTGCCCATGGTGTTTGAAAAAGAACAGCACTGTCTCCTCCCGCCCCCTAATAATAAATAAATAAATAAATAAATAAGTAGGACAGTTTGACTTCCCAATTCTGATTAAAAATACCCCCATTGCAAACCCATCACATCTGCCAGCCACCTCCCGAACAGGCCCCCAGTCAAGGATGCAGCCCTGGGAGCATGAGGCAGGGTCAGCCTGAACAAAAAGTAAAAGCACGTATAGGATTGCAGCCTAAAGACTTTCTGGGAATTAGTTTAGCATAGGCCTCTCTTGCTTGGCCCTGAACATCAACCTCCTTATAAGGAAAGCAAGCTGATTTCCAGGCTGATTAGGCAGCTGCTAATTCTCCTACCCAAGGACACTTTTTAATGTTGGGCAAAAGAAAAAAAAGCAATCAACACAACAGCCAAAAGGGAGATCCTGCAAGAGATTACCCCTTCGTAGAATTGTAGAGTTTGAATTAATCCAAAGGTCATCTATTCCAGCCCCCTGCACTGCAAGAACCACAGCTATGATTTGTAGATTTACTGCAGCATGCAATTTATGGCTATAATCCAGTGCACCCATCCTTGGATGTGTGCCTTGTAATTATTACTATCATTTTATTATCCCAAAGGGTAGCAGTGTTGTGCTATAGCAGAAAACAACCATGCAAAAGTCCCGCGATGACACATTAAAGACTTCACAAATTTATACTGTAATATTTATTGATAAAATCACTAAAGGGAATCAATGTATGTATTTTAAGGGTGCAGAGCAAGGTCCATTGAACTCAGTTGCATCTACTTCAGAGTAAGAGCAGAGTCTTTTATTGGAATCCTGAAAGTCCTTACCTGGGAGTAAATATCACTGAATTTAGAAGGGGTTGGTTCAAAGTTGGCATAGTTAGGTATGAACTGCCCCTCTCGCTGCTGCATCACTCTTCCCTGAGAGAGGGAAATGTCAAGGCTGTGAAAGAGATGCAGCAGCAAGAGAGAAACAGAGGTGGATGACAGAAAAGTCCCTGAAACCTGTCGGGCACCTCTCTCAAGGCTGTGGCCTTGGTACCTCATCAGTGCGTCAGGTGTGTAGTGTGCTGATTGGCCACAGTGGTAACAGTGATGCAACAGGACTCTTCTTGTGTTCTTATCCCACAGCAGGGGTAGGCACACTAAGGCCCGGGGTCTGGATACAGCCCAGTCACCTTCTCAATATAGCCCACGGATGGTCTGGGAATCAGCGTGTTTTTACGTGAGTAGAATGCATCCTTTTATTTAAAATGCACCTCTGGGTTATTTGTGGGACCTGCCTGGTGTTTTTACATGAGCAGAATGTGTGCTTTTATTTAAAATGCATCTCTGAGTTATTTGTGGGCATAGGAATTTGTTCATTTATTTATTTTTTCAAAATACAGTCCGGCCCACCACATGGTCTGAGGGACGGTGGACCAGCCCACGGCTGAAAAAGGTTGCTGACCCCTGTCCTAGAGGATCATATGTAACATGAGAGAATCCTACCTCTTCTAGGTTATGGGGGGCATTGAAGGTGATGTGTCTGAGGGCTGAGGGCCACAATCAATCAATAATCAATCAATGGAGACATTGCACACACTTTTGAAAATCAAGAAAATCTTTAATAAAATAATAATACAGTGGTACCTCGGGTTACATACGCTTCAGGTTACATACGCTTCAGGTTACAAACTCTGCTAACCCAGAAATAGTGCTTCAGGTTAAGAACTTTGCTTCAGGATGAGAACAGAAATTGTGCTCCGGTGGCACGGCAGCAGCAGGAGGCCCCATTAGCTAAAGTGGTGCTTCAGGTTAAGAACAGTTTCAGGTTAAGTACGGACCTCTGGAAGGAATTAAGTACTTAACCCAAGGTACCACTGTAATAACAACAATAATATGAGAAATGTTAAATTTTACGTTCTGTCAGTAGATGGCAGTAGCGACAGCTACTTGATTAAAAACAAAAAAAACTTAGGTTGTGTTGTATGCATTACCTGAGCCGATCTCTGGTGTTTCAAGCTGAGTCCACATGACATTAGTCACAATCCATATGCATCCAGCAGTTCCTTCAGAAATTCTGTTGTTTTATGCATTTCCCCCACGAACCCACCTTCCATCTGATTTGAAAACCTGAGCCATGCTTAAGTTGAGGTGCGTAAGTTTCAAACACCCATTGTACATGCCCAGATGACAGCTTTGTTGAATAAAATAAATAAAATTCATTATTATTATTATAAGAATTTGGGGAGTGGAGGGGCCGCAGGTGTATGGAAAGGATCAGGTAATGTGTATTGGGTGAAGACATCTCCACCCCCTCCACACACACACCCCCTGTCAAAATGTGACTTCAAAACAAAGCATCTCTACAACAGGCAATAAATGGAGGGGGGGCTGGTTTCAGGCATAAGCCCCTTTTGATCCACACCCAATAAACTTCTAGGACAGGATGGTCCAATGCACAGCCCTTAGGGCCTTTTTTTGGTAACCCTTGGCAACATTTGATGTCCTCCACCAGCCCTCCCAGCCCTTGTGCTGCCTTCCCAAAGCCAGGTAAGTGAGGCACTGGGCTTTGGGAAGGAGATGGAAGGGCTCTAGGACCCTGCCAGAACTTAATGTCTCATTCCCAAAGCGACAAGGCAGCCTGCAAGTTCCCTGTCAAAGTACTCTTGCAGCCCACTTGCTATGAAAAGTTGGACCACCCTGTTCTAGAGCAAAGCAGCAGCTCTATCTTTTCAAGGCCCTGGGAGTGGGATATAGGAGTTTGTGGGAGCACCATTTGGAAGGGCTTTTCTTTGGCCTTCCTGTATGTGTGGTTTTGTTCTTTTAAAATTGTTGCACTTGATGATCAGTCTATTAGGCCATTTTATTGTACAGTGGTACCTTGGTTTAGAAGAGACTCTGGTGGCACTGTGAGTTAAACCACAGAGCCTAGGACTTGCCAATCAGAAGGTCAGCGGTTCGAATCCCCGTGACGGAGTGAACTCCTGTCGCTCGGTCCCTGCTCCTGCCAACCTAGCAGTTCGAAAGCATGTCAAAGTGCAAGTAGATAAATAGGTAAACGGCGTTTGCGTGCGCTGCTTTGGTTCTCCAGAAGCGGCGTAGTCATGCTGACCACATGACCTGGAAGCTGTACGCCGGCTCCCTTGGCCAATAAAGTGAGATGAGCGCCGCAAACCCAGAGTCGGTCACGACTGGACCTAATGGTCAGGGGTCCCTTTACCTTTACCTTGGGTTAAGTACTTAATTCATTCTGGAGGTCCATTCTTAACCTGAAACTTCTTAACCTGAAGCACCACTTTAGCTAATGGGGCTTCCCGCTGCCGCCGCGCCACCAGAGCACGATTTCTGTTCTCATCCTGAAGCAAAGTTTTTAACCCGAGGTAATATTTCTGCGTTAGCGGAGTCTGTAACCTGAAGCGTATGTAACCTGAGGTACCACTGTACTCCATTCTGTATTTTGTTGTTTTAATATGTACTTCACTGCTTTGGGGGACTTGTGGGGTGTTGAAAAGCAATATATGAATATGAATTAATTATTGTAGTAGTAGTAGTAGTAGTAGTAGTAGTGTAGTAGTAGTAGTAGTAGTGGTAAATCTACTATGTATTTTGGAAAGTTGTTTATTTGTCTGATGGCTATGCATGCAAACACCTCTTAAAAGATCGCAAGCAAATTTGCACAATGGTCCTTGCCATTGAGGAGCAGCTTTAAGTCTGTATTTAGATACAATTGGACACTTAGAGTGTTTCCCATTTAGAGGGTTCAAAGCACTTGCCCCATCCCTTTTTCATAATACCAGAACTTGTGAGTATTCAATGAAACTGAATGTTAGACAGATAGCCATGACGATGTTCTGCTTCCAATCTTCTGAATATCATTGCTGGAAACCACAGGAGGGAAGAGTGCTGTTGTCCTGCTTACAAGTTTCCTACAGGTGCCTGGCTGGCGCCACTGTGAGAACAGGATTCTGGACTAGATGGGGCCATTGGCCTACTGAGGCAGAGCTCTTATTATGTTCTTCTTATTTCAGTAACCTAACAGCTTTGCAAGGCAGGGCGGGATTATTATAATTCCCCACATTGCTAGTTATGGGGTGGGGGTCTGAGGAAATGGATGGATTTCGTAAAGCCACCCAATAAATTCATCATGACTGACATGAGTTTAACATAAATGCCCTAAGTGAAAAAATAGCAACACTACTTTTCCTTCACAAAGCCCAGCATGTTTTTCAGTTGTGTATGTTTGGGCAAATTATATTTTCCTTTCCCATTTCTAGAAAATCAGTATCTTGAAAGAACACTCTACCAAATAAAAAATAAAAAGTCACCAACCGTCTGTGAAAGGGTGTCACTTCTGGGACTTGAGCAACACAATATTCTCTTCAAGGTCATGAAGCCTGGGAGGTTTTGATAAGCAAATGCTGTGGAGGGGTTTAGTTCCTCATTGGCTGCCTGGTTCACCACCAGATTTTGACATGAGTATAATCAGATTGAAAAATCAGGGAGGAGAATGAGGTAAAGTGAAGAAGGGGAAGAAAGAGGGAGATGTGTCTAACTTCAGCTGACAGCAAGACTGTGGAAAAGTCATAGAGAAGGAAACTTCACTGTGAGGATCGTCCCTGAGGAAAAGTCTACTTTCAGCAATTCTGCAATAACAGGTAATTTCCCCCTTCACTAATAATAATAATTTTTTTTAAAGGATTGTATCCAAAGTTTTCCAAGTAGCCCCCTGAAATTAATGGGCCTAAGTCATGTCCATATTTTTCAATGGATCTACCCTAAGTAGGACCAACACTGAGTAGGACCTACAGTTCACTTCTAAGAGCTAGGTTAAAGCTTGTATTGATGTAATAGAAACCAAATCTTCTGAAAAGCTGTGCTGGAAGAGGGTTGCAGATAGAAGTTACTATATGGTGGGGGTTTTTAAGTTATGGGTGAGAGCTAATGTTGGTCATACTCAGAGTAGACCCCATTGAAATCTATGGAATTAAGTAACTTGCAGCATAATCTTAACCATGTCTTCTCAGTAAAAAAGCCCCGCTGAGTAGGGCTATGCAGGGTTTCCCTTGCATTGGATTCAGAAGCTGCAATTACTGCAGAAAGCCGCAGCACCGAGACCCTCTCACCATACAACACCTCTGCTCAGAGACCAGCACTGGTTGCCAATTTGATACCAGTCCAAGTTCAAGGTGTTGCCATTAAGTATATAAAACTAGAACAACTTGGAACCAGTTTACCTGCAAGATGACTTTACCCCATATATGCCCACTCAACCGCTTCAATCTGCAGAACTGGCCCATAATACTCATTCCACGCTTGTAGGAATTTGATACTTTTGTGTGGCTGTACCCACACTTTGGAACACCCTGCCAGCTGACCTCAGGTAGGTGCTGTCACTGTACTTTGGAAAGAACCTGCATTAAAACATTTTTGTTTGGGCAAGCCTATTCAGACATGTAGAAAGCTGACATGTATCTTAATCTGGGTGGGTTTATTTTAGCTTAACCTGTTTTTAACGTGATCTCTTTTTTTACTGGTAATTATATTATTTTATTATTTTTCTAAACTGCTTTGAGGTTTTATTACAACCAAGAGGTGTGTAAATCTTGTGACATTAAGTAAATACCAAATTCAATGAGGCTGACTCCCAGGTAAGTGGGGTTACTCTACAATTCTATGATTCTATAATTCTACACTGGGTTAAATCTACCTTCAATTCTACTCAAGAGGAGACCTATTGACATTAATGGGCACAACTAACTTAGGTAACTCTGAGGAGGACTTCATAGGTTCCAAGCCATAGATTTCAATGGGTCCACCCTGTGTACAGAATTGGTGTAGGATAGAGTTTCAGACTAGAACCTGGGAGAGACCAGGGTTCAAATCCTGACTTAGCCATTAAGCTCAATAGATGTGACCTTGGGTCGGTCACTGCCTCCCAGCCTAACCTACCTCACAGGGTTGTTGTGGGGGTTAAATTAAGAGTGGGAGAAGAACTGTGTAGGCTACCTTGAGCAAATTGGAGAAAAGGTGGGAAATAAATGCAATAAATTTAGTTGGGACTTTACCCAACTGTCCCAAGATGTTCCCAGCCAGGGTTAAACCTTGTTAGCACAGGAGAAATAAGGTTGATCCTTCATTTAAATAAATAACCTAATATCCCTGAGTTTTACTGCTTGGGGAAAAACATGAAATAACAAAATAATTAAGAGAAAGTATTGCAAGGAGTTAGATGTGATGTCCCCCTGGTCCATTCCAACTATACAAATCTATGATTTTATAAGCCATATTACGGAATTATTGGGAAACAATTGACTGCTAGGATGGTACTGGGAAGCACAATCCCTCTGACGGTCTCAGGAAAGCAGGTAAAGAATTGCAACCCTAACCTACTGGAAAGAAATTTGGAAGAGAATTAAGGCTGCACTCCTTTAGTCAACAGCTGCGAGTAATCCCCACTGAACAGTTTTCAGTCAGAGGATTTCAGTGCAAAAGGAAAAGGTCCTCTCTCTGCTCATTTTATATTGGTTATAAATTCTATTTTCAGTTGTTGTTTTGTGCATACTGCTTTTAAAACCATTTTAGTTTTAAATATTTTTTTTAAAAAACTTTTTTATGATGTGACTGTGTAAATAGCCTTGAGACATATGTGTGAAAGGCAATCTAATAATAATAATAATAATAATAATAATAATAATAGGTCTCAAACTTTTTTATCTGGGCCATAATTTCATAATAAATATTTCTTCATGACACACCCTTTTTTTAACTGATAAGAAATAAATAGGAAAGCAAAAATAAACAACAACTGATTTATAACGAAGAAATAGCTATCCATATTCTGCAAATAAAAAAGTTATTTTGAAACTATACTATACTACACTGAAATGTTTAGATGTTTCTTTGATGGTTCTTGAATCTTCCCAGCACACTTGCTCTCCTCTCCTGCCACACCAGGACTTAGCAACACTAAATTTTGTTGCTTATCATACCATAGATGACCTCCTGTCACCGATAAGTTCTCAGTTATGTCTATGATGTTGTAGTATCTTTTCTCTTTCAAAAAACCACACTCGCCCACAATCTGTGCTTCTTGTCTTTCTCACACTTTGGGTGGGGGACAGCCAGAATTGTGAGTTGCTAGGCCAATTGCTAGAGAGGACGAGAATGGGCCTTTGAGTACCATTGTCCCAGCCTGACCTACCTGACCGGGTTGTTGAGAGGATATAATGGAAGAAGGAGTTGGGGGAAGAAACAACCATGTATGCCACATTGAAATCCTTGGATGAAAGATGAGCTATAAATATAATAAGTACAGTGGTACCTCAGGTTACATACGCTTCAGGTTACATACGCTTCAGGTTACAGACTCTGCTAGCCCAGAAATAGTACATCGGGTTAAGAACTTTGCTTCAGGATGAGAACAGAAATCGTGCTCCGGTGGCATGGTTGCAGCAGGAGGCCCCATTAGCTAAAGTGGTGCTTCAGGTTAAGAACAGTTTCAGGTTGAAACAGACCTCCAGAATGAATTAAGTACTTAACCCGAGGTACCACTTTATTTTTTTAAAAAAAACCCCAACAAAAATTAACCAGATGGGGCTGTTTCAAAATGTTGTATCCAATGTCAATTCCACTCAGAGTAGACCTATGGAAATTAATGGACATGACTGATTTAGGTCTATTCATTCCAGTGGGTCTACTCTGAGTCGAATGCATATTCACACCATACATTGCCAAATTAAGCAGTCATGGCTTCTGAGAGCCGGAGTTTGTTAATTTTCTAAGAGTTGCTAAAGGTAAAGGGACCCCTGACAGTTAGGTCCAGTCGTGACCGACTCTGGGGTTGCGGCGCTCATCTCGCTCTATAGGCCGAGGGAGCTGGCGTTTGTCCTCAGACAGCTTCCAGGTCATGTGGCCAGCATGACTAAGCAAGAGTTGCTAGGAGACCCCATTTCCTGTCCCAGAGCTACCCTTCCCAACCCTTCTTCCTAGGAAATTATTGAAATTTTAGGTCTGAGGGGGGAATACAGGCCTCTGAGCAACTCTCAGCACCCTTAACAAACTGCAGCTTCCAGCATTTTGGGGGAGAAGCCACGAGTATCTGAACTGGTGTAAAAGTGCTTTCAATGTATAATGTGAACGATGTCTAAGTTGGCTACAATCCATATTGACTCGAGGGCAGTCAAAATATCTTTACAGTTAAACAGACCTGGGAGACAGGAGTGGTGGGAGCGGAGACAATCTTGAGAGCCTGGATTGAGTACATATTTCCCAAGGCAAAATATAACATTTGTTTGTACGGTTACTGAACGGAGCAACTGGAGGAGAAAATGCAAACAACCATGCAAATGAGAGACTACTTGATTGCCTTCCAGTATGTTACCTTGAGATTCTTCCATGGATTATGTTACTTATCACAAGGCAGCTGGGTTTAGCGGGGGGAGAAGAGATTTGCTTGTGCATATTTTATGAAGTATGTGGGAAATAAGAGCTATGCAGTGTCCAGGGAGGACATTTGGAACTCCAGAAAAGAGGGCACAGATTTGTATAAACTTTGCATATGGCTAATGTTTATGTACGGATGCAAAATTAGGAAGTTTTCAAAGGACAATAATCTCTTGTGCCTAAATTTGTGGCTCATGTACTGTTATTTGGCTCTTTGCACAGAGATTCCTGTAAAGAATTAATCACTCCCTTAGTAATAAGTCTCAATCAGGCCATAATTCTGTGACCTTTCTCAAAAAGGATGTTGCAGAGTTGGAAAAGGTTCAGGAAGGGCACTCCTCTGTGAGGAAATATTGCAGCGACTGAGACTCTCTGGTTTGGAAAAAAGGCGAGTAACAGGTGACAGGATGAAAGTTTATAAAAATATGTATGGCAAGGAGAAAGTGGACAGAGAAAAGTTTTTCTCCCTCTCTCCTAACACTAGGAATGCAGGGACATCCAAAAAAGCTGAATGTTGGCGGATTCAGAACAGATAAGATAAAGTCCTTCTTCATGCAGTGTATAGTTAGTCTATAGAACTTGCTCCCACAGAAGGCAGAGAAGAGCATTCATTTGGATGGCTGCCCTGTGGAGCAACCTTCGATCAGATGTCAAGGAAATAAGCAACTATCCTACTTTTAAAAGACATCTGAAGGCAGCCCTGTTTAGGGAAGTTTTAAATGTTTAATGCGGTATTGTTTTTTTAAATATTTGATTGGGAGCCGCCCAGAGTGGCTAGGGAAACCTAGCCAGATGGGCGAGGTATAAATAATAAATTATTATTGTTATTATTATTATTGTTGTTGTTGTTGTTGTTAAATGAGCATCAGACTAGCCACAGTTTCTACGTTCTACTGCCTCTGTCAGAGCCATCATGCCTCTGAGTAAAAGTTACTTGGAATCAATCGCAGGAGAGGAAAGTGCTATTGGACACATGTTCACGTTGCAGGCTTGTATTGTCCCCAGGCTAGTTCTTTTTCCCAGGGTTGGTTTTTCATGAGTTCAGGTTGAGCAGATAGGAGGCAACATTAGTAGTAGTAGTAGTAGTAGTAGTAGTAGCAGCAGCAGCAGCAGCAGCAGCAAATAAAATTTGCATACATTATGGAATGCATCAGGGGCTACTCTGTCAACCATGGCAGTTTATCCACACATGTGATTTTAATTGTGATCAGTGTTTTTTTTGGGGGGGGAACGGGACACAGGGGTACGCAAACCCCTAAGCATTTTGTGAATCTTAGTTTGGCCTCATTGATGGGCAGTATTTCAATATGAGTAGGAAAATGAGAATACAGTGGTACCTCGGGTTAAGTACTTAATTCATTCCGGAGGTCCACTTTAGCTAATGGGGCCTCCTCCTGCCGCCGCGCCGCCGGAGCCCGATTTCTGTTCTTATCCTGAAGCAAAGTTCTTAACCTGAAGCACTATTTCTAGGTTAGCGGAGTGTGTAACCTGAAGCGTATGTAACCTGAAGCGTATGTAACCCGAGGTGCCACTGTACCCCTAAACATTTTTAAAGAAAAAAACACTGATGATGATGTGTCATTCTGGTTTTACAATGTTTTCTCCTATCTTTCTGGATCTGTTTTCCCCAGCTGAACACGAAATGCCAAGGTCTTTCTTAGTGAAGAGTAAGAAGGCAAACTCTTATCACCAGTACCGAGTTGTGGATGATGGTCTCCTGGTTCCGAAATGGGACCCGGCAACAGTTGTGCCCTCCACTGCAGGTGGGTCAGACAACTCTGGGTTGTCTAGGAACCACGCTGGTTACGCAAAAGCCTCCAGTGTTTAATCATAGTGACACTATATTTATTTGTTTGATTTGTGGATCACCTTCCAATAATAATAATAATAATAGTAATAACAATAATTATTATTATTTATATGCCGCCCATCTGACTGGGTTGCCTCAGCTGCTAAGGATTGCAGCTTAGCAGCAGAGCACCCGGTTCCCATGCAGATGGTCTCGAGTTTAATAAATAAAACTATTGCCTGCATTCTGATCACAGTTATTCATGGCCACAACACCCCCAAGGACAGCGAGGCCCTCAGCACTGGTTGTCCACAAGGCCCTGCTCCAAAAGATGGAAATGAACCCAAAGGAGTCAAAGAAGAGTATGTTCTCCCTGCCCATAGTATGACCAGAACAGTGTCAGGACCTCTGATATCAGGTGAGCAGCTGCGGGTCACAGCACTTTATTTGAAGCAGGCTGGGTAAGAATCAGTGCTCTTTTTTGGTTTAAAATAAAGTGTGTGTGTGTGTGTGTGTGTGTGTGTGTGTGTGTGTGTGATCAAGAGAGGCTCCCAGAGCAGCAGCCAGATCACTATTTAAAAAGACACAGCACAAAAGGAAAACTGACTGGGAGGAGGAAATAACCAAGCTCAGGGTCAAGTTCCCAGTTCAGCTTGAGTGGAAAGGTCTGAGAAGAGAAAGTGCTGAACTTGCCGGATAGAGTGGCCGAGTGCCCCTTGTCTTCCCTTTGGTATGCAAGTCCAGGGTGCAGCTTCCAATATTCACATACTTAGGCTGCGGTCCTGTACTCACTTGCCTAGGAGAAAGCCCCAGTGAGCTGCAAAGCCTGGGGGTCAGAATGAATCAGTGAATAATAATAATAATAATAATAATAATAATAATAATAATAATAATAATATATTATTTATACCCCGCCCATCTGGCTGGGCCTCCCGAGCCACTCTGGGCAGACTCCAACAAAATATCAAAATACAGTAATGCATCAAAATGCAGTAATTAAAAGCTTCCCTAAACAGGGCTGCCTTCAGATGTCTTCTAAAAGTCTGGTAGTTGTTGTTCTCTTTGACATCAGGCGTCTCACAGGGCGGGTGCCACTACCGAGAAGGCCCTCTGCCTGGTTCCCTGTAGCTTTGCTTCTCGCAGTGAGGGAACCGCCAGAAGGCCCTCAGCGCTGGACCTCAGTGTCCAGGCAGAACGATGGGGGTGGAGACACTCCTTCAGATATACTGGACCGAGCCCGTTATGTGATGCTCTGTTTAGCTGTGCATCAGCATTGCCCAGTGGTCAAATTTGCACCATTGCTTTTAGGATATGTAGGAAGAAGTGTTGATGGGAAAATGTGTTTAAAACAGTCTTTCTGTCCTGCTGATTTAAGCCCTTGCTTTGTACCTTGAGTGTTTTTCCCTGGCTGGAATGTGCCCTTGTTTGCCTCGGTGGAGGATGGAGAGGGTGTGTATGCTTCTTTGCTCTACAAAGATAAAATATACATGTATGCAATGCTTTTTTCTATATAAAAAAAATGTTTAGAGGTTCTCTCATTTTGACTCAAGAAAATCACCATTTTATAGTTCAAATCGGGAAAAGTAAATACATTAAATGGACAAAAGTACAAAGATTCACAAAATGTTTAGGGGTATGCATACCCCTGCGTATCCCGAGGAAAAAAGCACTGCACATATGGCTCCATCCACGTTTGCCTCAGGCCATGCTTGCCACTGGCATGTGGCCCTGGGAAGGTTGCCTAGATGGGAATGTGGCCCTAGGGCTGAAAAAGTCTCCCCACAGCCCTGGATGGTTAAAAAAAAAGTAAATAACGAGCAGGCTGATAATCTGATTCATCCTATTTCACCTCAGAGATGCCTGTCCAAGCTCTGAAATCCAACGACAGTGGCTCAGTTGAAAGTGTGGCCACCTTTTACAAGCCCAATTTTGCTTGGAGTGCCTTCCGTCCTCCATACAGCTACAGGCCAACTTCTTCTACCCTTCTGGAACATTCCGTTAGCCTGTATGAGAACCACCTCCTCCCAGCCTCAGAGCCACCCCTTGACTACAGCCTGAGATTCTCACCGGACATGGATACATACCACTGTGTGATCTGTAACAAGGTGAGTTCCCCGTGGACCATGGGTGATAAATCTGTGGCCCTTCTGATGTTGGATTACAGCTTCCATCATCCTTGGCCATACCTGCTGGGGCTGATGGGAGTTTATTTAAATATTTTCCCCCCGCCATTCGGCCAAGAGAGGCTCCCACGGAGGCTTACCGATCATTTATCTAAAAAGCATAGCTGTCAAGTGTCCCTTATTTGAAGGGACAGTCCCTTATTCCAGCGCCATGTCCCGCTGCTGTCCCTTATTGATGGATGTCCCTTAAATGATGTCCCTTAAATTTCAAAGGAAGCAGCTCCTCTCCCTCCCTCCCTGCCGGCCAGGGAGGAGGGAGGCTCCAACTGTGTTGCTTGGCTGTGTTGCTCACCCAATAAGAAGTCTAAGAACGACTGGGGGGTGGAGCTTGCATGCCTTGTGTGTGGCTAGTTAATGCAAGCTGAGGGTTTTTTGGAATGCTGGACGCCATTTTGTTGCATGTGCTGCTGCAAACTTTGCAGTGCAAAGCCAGGCTGGGAAGCCATCTTAAGTTGAGGCTGCATAGGCCTTGTGATGCATGTGATTCAGATTCTATTCAGTTGAACCTCTGGTTACAAAGTTGGTTGGACAGTGTTCTCGAAGCTACCAGCATGAGTTTGACCAGACTGCAGGAGGACAGGAAGACTGGAGTGCCTGGAACAGGTGAGGCTGCAGGTCCCTTATTTTCAAGGCTGCTGGTCCCTTATTTTCAAATCTGTGACAGCTATGAAAAAGACATGGCACAAAAGGAAAAAAGAATTGGGAAGAAGGAGGAAATAACCAAGCTTAGGATCACATTCCCAGTTCCCAGCTCATCTAACGACCATCTGGGCTTGAAAGGTTTGAAGTTGGGCATTTGGAAGGCCAAAAGTTCCCCATCCTGATCTAAGAAAAGGCATTCCTCTCTCTCATGAGAGAACAAATATAAGGGCCTATTTCATTGTAAGGAGAGAATTCCACAAGGGTGGTTTGTTGTTGTTGTTTTACATCATTGAAACAAATTGCTCATTTACCAATCTACAGGCTGACCAGATAGGAAGCAAGCAGGCAGCATAGTCTCCATGGACCCAGCTGCCATGATAACCTTGATGATGCATACATAATTCATGCTGCTGAATGGCTAAAAATAAAAAATAAAAAATAAATTGCAGGTGTAAAGGAGGTCTAATCTAGAGTGGGAACTTGGTATGGTGGATGGAAAAGGGCTTTAACCCTTTGCCTTCTGCTACAGGCTAATGAGACTTGTTGTCCAAAACACCAGTGGGGCTGGGGCTGGAACCATGTTGGGGAGAGCCTGCTCCATGAGAAGGAGAGGCGGAAAAGCAGAACGTGAGACAAGACTGAACTGCCACAGTTCTAAAAACATCTCTTTGCCCTCTCAGATATTTTCTACCCCACATGGACTGGAGGTCCACGTCCGACGATCCCACAGCGGCACACGACCCTTTGCTTGCGACACCTGCGGCAAAACGTTTGGGCACGCTGTGAGTCTGGAGCAACACGCCAACATTCACTCTCAGGTCAGGAGTGAGAGGAGGCAATAATATTCTTCCTGTCCCGTGTCTCTCACAATCGAATCTGTTTCCATTCCACTACTGTTCAGCTTCCATGAAAACCTACAACATAACAACACAATAATTCCCTGTTGGATCAGGCCAATAGCCCATCTAGTTCAGCATTCTTTTCTTACAGTGGCTAACCAGAGACCGCAGTGGTAAGCCCACAAGCAGGATTCAAGCACAAGAGCCCTCTCCCCTCCTGTAAAGGTAAAGGGACACCTGACCATTAGGTCCAGTCGTGGCCGACTCTGGGGTTGCGGCGCTCATCTCACTTTACTGGCTGAGGGAGCCAGCGTACAGCTTCTGGGTCCTGTGGCCAGCATGACTTAGCCGCTTCTGGCGAACCAGAGCAGCGCACGGAAACGCCGTTTACCTTTCCAACGGAGCGGTACCTATTTATCTACTTGCACTTTGATGTGCTTTTGAACTGCTAGGTTGGCAGGAGCAGGGAGGCAGGAGCAGGGCCCGTGCAACGAGCGCTCACCCCGTCATGGGGATTCGAACCGCCAACCTTCTGGTCGGCAAGCCCTAGGCTCAGTGGTTTAACCCACAGCGCCACCCATGTCCCTCTCCCCTCCTGTGGTTTCCAGCAATTGGTATTCAGAAGCAGTGCTGCCTCCAACTGCAGAGGCAGAGCATAGCCATCATGGCTAGTAGTCATCAACAGCCTTATCCTTCATGAATTTATCCAAACCTCTTTTAAAGCCATCTAGGTTGGTAGCCATCTCCTGTGGGAGCAAATTCCATACTTTAACTATGAGCTGTTCTTCCTTTTTTTCTCTCCTTGAACTTTAAACATCTGTCATGTCACCTCTTCCCTGCCTTTTCTCTAAATTAAAAAGTTCCAAATGCAAAAAGTACCTACATTGTTGTTCTCTCGCTAGTCACTATTCACTTGAAACAAGCAAAATTAATTATGTCATTAGTTATGTGATCAATTTCAACCTGAGGAAAACCTGGAAGACAATACTGGAAATAACATTTACTTAGGATTTGCAGACTAAAACAGCCCCAACAATAGCAAATGCTGCTTGTATTCACTTGCATGATTTCCAGGGTTGGTGTTTCCCATCTCTGGACAACTGGCCTGACTTTTGGTCTCGATTTCTTGATCTTCTTGTTACAGGAGAGAAGCTTTGCATGCAAAATGTGTGGGAAGACTTTCAAACGCTCTTCCACCCTCTCCACCCACTTGCTGATCCACTCAGACACAAGGCCGTACCCCTGCCAGTACTGCGGGAAACGCTTCCACCAGAAGTCAGACATGAAGAAACACACTTACATCCACACAGGTGAGAGGAGGAGTGCCCCCCCCCCCCGCTGGTGGGATGGTGAGATGCTGGTTCAGCCTATTTCACTCATGTGTCTATTGCAGAATGTGTCTATTGCACTTGTTTATTATTATATGTCTAGACCCACCTTTCCTCCAAGGAGCTCAAAGTGGCATTCATGGTTTCTCCCCTCCCCAATTTTATGTTCACAACAACCCTGTAAGGAAGGTTTAGGTTGAGACAAAGTAATAGATGACCCAGTGAGCTTCATAGGGAAGTTGGGATTTGAACCCACTTCCACAGGTACTAGAAGTTACATTGGAGCCCCTGAGTGCCATGCTGGTGACATAATGGATACATATAATAATTCCTTTGACCTCCTTTCTTTGCCATCCAGGAGAGAAGCCAGTTTGGTCTCTCCCTTGCCTTGATTTTTTTCCTGGGATGTAAGCGCAACAGGCTTCCCAGGGGCCCTGTAGTGGTTCACCACACCTCTTAGGCTAGTGGGCACCTGTGGAGTTTTGGGAGTGTCCTTGTCAAAAATATTTTTATCCATTATAGCTATATTCCAAGGTAAATACTACCAAGCATCCAGTGTAAGACTTTGGGCTCTTTCCCATTGAGTTACTGTTCGAGCTCCTAAGACCATACGACTAATTAGAGCTGCTGATATATTTTTACTTCTTGTCATCTCCTCTTTGCCATCTAGGGGAGAAGCCACACAAATGCCAGGTCTGCGGCAAAGCCTTCAGCCAGAGCTCCAACCTCATTACGCACAGCCGCAAGCACACTGGCTTCAAGCCGTTTAGCTGCGAGCTCTGCGGCAAGGGTTTCCAGCGCAAGGTGGATCTGCGGCGACACCGGGAGAGTCAGCATAGCCTCAAGTGAGAAGAGGAGAGCAGCCTTCTGTGTTCAGCTAAGGGGAGATGGCTGACATCAGGAGAGATCCTTGTGGAGAGAGGAGAGTGTGCCCAAGATGAATTTCCTCCTGTTCATCAAGAGAGAGAGACAATGAAGGAGCCTAAGGAAGAGCAGCATTGTTCTCCTCCAGAAGGCCCATTGCTTAGGCTCAGTTTTCCCCACCTGTAGATTTTCTTCTCCTTCAATGGAGGCCAGTCAATGGAGACAGTATAGAGCTAGACAGCTCAACAGCCTGACATGGTTTGAGGCCCCCTCTGCACTGTACGTTTAAAGCTGTCTCGTACCACGGCTTATAGTTTGCTAAGGAGGCTGAGAGTAATTTGGAGACTCCCCATTCCTTTCACAGAACTACAATTCCCAGAGTTCCCCTGGAAGGCGAATTAGGTGTTAAACCACTCTGGGAATTCTCCCTCCAAAGAATCCTGGGAAGTGTAGTTTGTTAAGGGTGCATAGTAGTAGTATTCCCTTAACAGAGCAACAAATCCCAAAGTTAAGAGGGATTGGTTGTTCAACCAATCTGGAAACTGTAGCTTTGGGAAGGGAAAATGGATCTCCCAAGTACTCTTACACCCTTAACAAGCTACAGTTCCCATAATTTCTTTGGGGAGGCTATGAAAGTTGAAAGCTGTATGATACAGCTTTAAATGTACAGTGCAGATGGAGCCTAAGTCTGTTCCATATAATCTGCCCGCAAAACAAGTGCTCTGTCACTGAGCTAAGGCCCTTCTGGGATAATTTTTTTATTTGCTGAACTGTCATGGCTTCCTCCAAAGAATCCTAGGAAATGTAGGTTACTGAGAGTAGGACATTTCCTACTACAGGGGTACCTTGGGTTAAGAACTTAATTCGTTCCGGAGGTCCGTTCTTAACCTGAAACTGTTCTTAACCTGAAGCACCACTTTGGCTAATGGGGCCTCCTGCTGCCACTACGCCGCCGGAGCACGATTTCTGTTCTCATTCTGAAGCAAAGTTCTTAACCCGAGGTAATATTTCTGGGTTAGCAGAGTCAGTAACCTGAAGCGTATGTAACCCAAAGCATATGTAACCTGAGGTACCACTGTAGTCTTCCCCAACAGGACTACAGTGCCCATGATGCCCTAGGGAGAAGGAACAACAGTTAAAACCACTTTAAGCATGGAACACTGATATGCTGCATGAAGAAGATTTGCAAAAAAGAAGAGCATAATGGCTAAGCTTGAGCCCCTCCTTGTTGCCCCCCCCCCCCGGCAAAACCTTATCTGCCTTCTCAGAGAACACTGTCAATATGTATTTATGCTTATCTTATTGTATATATTGTTTTGAATTTATCATGCATTAGATTCTCTCTGCCACCGCTGGTGTTTTAGCAAAGATGCCTTACACAGCACCTATGAGCACATAGTTACTGGAGGACAAACCTTTGCGTTGAGGTTCTCTGCTCTCTGTTTTGGAGTATTCAGACACCCCCAACGCCCCATGCCACTAATACAATTATCATCTGTTTATTTGTACTCCATTTTCCCACAAAATTGTGCCCAAGGTGGATCACAACATACCAGCAGAACAAGTATAACAAGTATAACAATTCAAAATACATATTAGAAACAACCTATGAGATCGTCTTATCACATGTCCACTTGAATGCTTCGATCAGTGGAATTGCCACTATTACAGGTGCCACATAATACCCATTCCACATTTCTAATAAATCTTTTACTCTGGCAGCACCTACGCTTTAGAGCTCTGCCTAATGATACCCGGCAAGCGCCTGCATTGTACTCTCTTTTGGCACCCGCAAAAAACGATGTTTAGACAAGTCCACCTGGATGCTTAGAAACATGACGCAAGATTGAATCTGTTTTCAGTCTATTGTTATTTTAACTTTTTGAGTGTCTTAAATTATTTTCTTAGTGATAATTCTATTGTTTTATCCTTTTTTGTAAACTGCTTTGAGGTTGTTGTTTTTTATAAGTGGTGTATAAACTGTATGAACTTTATGATACAGTACATAATGTCAATAAATGCATTTTTAAAAAATAATCAATCCATACAAGTTTGTATAAAACAATACAGACAAACCAACCTAACTAAACAGCTTAGAATTAAACAGGAGAGATAATAACGCCTAACACGGAAGTAAAAAGTATAGAAATCAACCACATGATACATAGATTTCCTAGAGTTTAGACCAAAAGCTCAATTTTCAAACTTCCAGGGGCCTCACCCTTTCTATCTCTTGGGGTACTGCAGATACTCCTACATTAGTTCTCAGGGTGGGGAGAGGCCATGTGGGTGCCAACTTGAATAAAATAATGGGGGGGGCAGGTAAGCCCCACTCCACAGAATTGATCACAAGTCGTGGTGCACACACAAACCATGGCCCAACACCTTTGGGGGGACCTGCCCCCCTCAAATAATTTATGGGAGGTGAAGGGACCTCAGCCCCTGGGAATTGGCTCCTATGATCTTGGCTGTCACTCCACACAGAGGCCAATAACATACCCTCCAACATTTCTCTGAAGAAAATAGGGGTGTCCTACTGTGTTGCCCCAGCCACTCTAGCTGGCTTCCCACATATAAAAACATCGTACCATATCCTCCAACATCTTTCTGATGAAAATAGGGACGTCTTAATGAAAAACAGAAAATTCTAGGATCAAGTCAGAAATCGGGATGGCTTCTGTAAATTCGGGTCCCTCCCTGGAAAATAGGGACTGTTGGAGGGTCTGCAATAACTTTCATTCCACATTCTTCTACCAAACAGCATACATTCACGTGAGCTGGGGGGTAAACAGACTTTCTCTCAGATAAGGGTAAGAGGAGATAAATATACCTTTCAAAGAGAGTGTTTTATAAATAAAAATAAATGACTATCTCTAGGAGTGGGGAGTGGGGAACCTGTGGCCCCATGGGGCAGGTCACCCCATTTGTCCTGTGAGGCAAGCTGTTGTAAAAACAAAATCTGCCCTTTTTACCTTATGGGGTATCCAAGAGCCTGTATAGAGTCCTTAAGTGGGTTCCCTATCGGTAAGAGAAAATAACAGAGGCCAACCAGAGAATATTGAGAAGCAAAGCAGCTATTAAGCCTGATCTTTATTAAACTGTTGCAACAAGTTCCTCACTCACCCCAAGCAGGAAAGAAGAGGATCCCAGAACAAAGGTGTTCACCCTTATATAGACTTTTTAAATTGCCCACCCTCAAACTCCAGACCGTTCCCAGAAACATCATACCTACATCACAGAAGAGGTGGTCTACAACAGAAATCTGAGTGTGTTGTTTATCTTCTGTCTGGCAGGTTACCTGGTTGCATTATCTGGGTTTTGGCCACTCTTTTGTTATTATAACTACTTAATTCCTGAATCCAGGTCACAGGTTCACCCTATTCATGTGCCCTTGAGGCAGGATTTGTGAGCACAGAGACAATGGGGAGGTTTTTTCTATTTCTCCCTCATTGCAGAGAAATATTTGGTCAGTTTGGGAGAGTCAAAATGGTTTCAGGACTGTCTTCCTGTACTGTTTCAAACATGTGGTTTATGTATTCATGTACAGTCATACCTCATTACGTTTGCTTCATGTTACATTCTTTCAGGTTCTTTCCGGGTTTCGCCGCTTGCGCATGCGCAGAAGCGCTATATCGCGCTGTGCACCTGCGCAGATACGGCACTTCAGGTTGCGCTGTTTTCATGTTGCGAACAGGCCTCCGGAATGGGTCCCATTCGCAACCAGAGGTACTACTGTATGTGTTTGCCTTGTACATTTATTTTATATATTTGAGACTTTAAATTCTTATAACAAAGCTGAGGCCATCTGAGAGGCATGACTTAGGTATGGGGGTGTGGCCTGCCTGGGGACAACCTCATGGGTCAGAGAGGCCTGGACTCTGATGTTTTAAAACAGAAGTCATGACTCCCTAAGTTTTCTTGCTGCCACTCTAAATGAGTTAGAATGGAAGGAGAGGCTGGGGAAATAAAAACAGGAAGAGGTGGAGAGGGAGACTGTTTCAGGATACACAGATTCAAAAGCAGGGCTATGTAAGTCAGCCTCATGGCTAGCCAGGTAATGTGAATAACTGATAGTGATGGAAATGTCATTGACGCAAAGCCTTTTGTTTCACAAGATAGGAGAGAAGCCAGGTGTCTGATTTGCTTTTTATGGATATTTACAGATTTACCTGGGGTTTGCAAGGCCATTGCAGTTACATCTACAAAAAGCTTCCTGGGATGTTGGGGAAGGGCTGCAGCTCAGCAACAGTGTCGTACCTTCAGCGCAGAAGTCCCAGCTTCAATCCCCACCAGATTCAATCCTGACAGCCGCTGACTGTCAGTACAGACATTACCAAGCTAGACGGATCCAATGCTTTGACTCTGTAAAATTGCATGCAGAAGGTCCCTGGTTCAATCCCCGGCATCTCTGGGTAGGGCTAGAGGAGACCCCTGTCTGAAACTCAGGAGAGCAGCTGCCAGTCAGTATAGACAAGATTGAGTAGCTCGACCAATGATCTGAGTTGGTAAAAGGCTTCCTATTTAAATCAGTTATTTATCCAGGACTAGAGAAGAGTACCTTTTTACATGCAGAAGGCCCAGGCATTTCCAATCCCCAATGGCATTTCTAGGTAAGGCTAGAGGAGACCCCTTGTCTGAAACACTGGGGAGTAGCTGCCCATCAGAGTTGACATTACTGAGCTAAAGGAATGTTTGCCTTCCTTAGTATAAGGCAGCTTCCCATGTCCTCCCCTTCCCCCACCACACAAAATGCTTTCACCTTTCTGGAGATTGCACATTTTTGCTCTTCCTGCTCACAATCAGCCCAAGATCTGTTGGTTGAAGACAGCTGGAAGGAAGAATACACAAACGTGTAAACGCCCCCCCCCAGCCCCTCCTGGAAGAACCCTGCAGGGAGTGCTTTGCATGCCCCTAATTTGCTAACCAAAGCAATCCAAATATCCCTCCCCTTCCCCCCCCCTCAAGCACAGGAATGAAGGTGTTAAGGTGGGGAGGGGTGAAAGGGCAGGAGGAGACAATCGGGCTTTTCATTCCTCCAGCTTTGTGGAGATTTCGATGTTAGGTTAGTTCCTAATTGACTGGCAGCTAGGATGGCTGCTGAGGCTGGCAGTGTGGCCCAACTGCCTGCGGCAAGTCCACATACAGTGGTATCTCAGGTTACATATGCTTCAGGTTACAGACTCCGCTAACCCAGAAATAGTACCTCAGGTTAAGAACTTTGCTTCAGGAGAAGAAGAAAAATCGTGCAGCAGCAGCAGCGGGAGGCCCTGTTAGCTAAAGTGGTGCTTCAGGTTAAGAACAGTTTCAGGTTAAGAACGGACCTCCGGAACGAATTAAGTACGTAACCAGAGGTACCACTGTACTGGACACCTTCACATCACATGGCTCCTGCCACAAAAAGAGAATATTGGGAACTGTAGTTTGTTAAGGATGCTGGGAATTGTAGCTCTGTGAAGGGGTAATTACTACATAATAATAATTTAAAGAAAGTAGCATTAATAGTCACTGCCTTTCAGCCTAACCAACCCCACAAGGTGCTTGTGCGGATTAAATGAAGATTGGGAGGACCATGCCCACCAACTTTAATTAGGGGGAAAGATGAACTATAAATGTGATAAAATAATGATAATGATAACAATAATTTAAAGACAGTAGTAGTAACAGTCACTGTCTCTCAGCCTGATCTACCTCCCAATGTTGTTGGGATTAAATGAGGGGGAGAACCACACCCACCACCCTTCCTTGGAATATAAATGCAATAAGTTAATAAAAAATAAGGATACAAAGAGAGAGCTTTTTTTTTAAAAAAAGCAACCTTTGGTTTTATGCCCCCCACCCTGACACAAAGTAAAACACTACTGGAAAATGGGAGCCTGGAAATCTGAGGTTGAGGAGGGCAGCTTGTGGAG